TCTTGTAGGATTATCATAACATCCCAAGTCATGTTATTGATAAGTAAGATTTAATGGCATTCTTATTTCATTACGTGGAGCATGACTAAGGCAAATGGTAAGTTAGGAATTTGCTAATTCAAGGATGGGCGTTATGGTCATTTCAAGTGAAGTGAAGAAAAGAAATTATATTTCAATTGATTCCTTCCTCCTTTCGCATAACAAAGAGAGAAGAAGAAAAAAAATGTATGAAGAGTTTGCTTGGAAGTCCATTTCACTTGCATGCAAAACTTATATCTCACTTTTTTTTATAAACACTAGCGTTCAGACGGGCACTCCTGGATTCGTCTGTCTGTTTTTTTAATGCGCACAGCAGAGAAAAATAAATGTGTATATATATTTTTATAAGATATTTATTGTACGTCGCATTAAAAATAATATTATCTATAATATGTAATTAATAATATTCTTTAATAGAAAGGTTGAACATGAAATCTTTATTCTAAAAAGTTTCTTTTTTCTGTCATTGTTTTGTGTATTAAATAAAAAATGTAAGACTGTCATATTAGAATTTTTTTAGAGAAAAAAGATAGTAAAATTAATAGTAATTAGTGTAATATAGTATTTTTTTTATCTTGTAAAGATTCAAATTAATTATTCATACATTCTTTTATCAATGCGCTATTAAGTTTTAAAAAACTACAAGTAATGACGAAATATCTCTCTATAAAATATTTTTTTTCTATTTTAAATGAAATGTTTAATATCTTTTTAATCATACATTTAATTTTAAAATTAAATTTATTTTGGTTCATTAACATTAAAAAAAATCTTTATTGATCTATTAGTTCATCAAAAAGTATTACGTTATTCTTTTTCGTTTAATTAAAGACGAATTTAGTAATTAATTTTTTAATTTTTGTGTCGCTATTAAACGAAAATGATATATCATTTCACTTAAAAAGAGAGTATTTATAATTTGGTTATGACATAAAACATAAATGTTAATATATATTTTTAGGGTTTAAAGGTAGTACACTATCAGTACAAGACAGTTTTACACATTCATTCAATCAAAATGTCTATAATTACTATGTAATATCAATATTTTTAAAATAAAAATATTTTATACTGTCAGTGCATTTCCTTTTTTCTCATATTTTTATCATAGAGACCAAACATTGATTTAAATTGAATTGGACATCTATAAAATTTAAATTATTAAATAAAAAATTAAACATTATAAAATAATATAGTATTAGTTAATTGATTGAAGATACATCACACATCTTGGCTAGAGAAGTTGTCCCTTTATTTTATTATTAAAGTAAAAATTATGGTCCAAAACAATAATAAAATATTCATTTTCACGTTCAAAGCAAACATTTAGGAACCACTTCACAAACTTTCAACCTCTAAATCTCATTTTATTTATAATTTAATAGATATAATAAATATATTAATAAATCAATTTATAAGTTTTTATTCAATATATCCTTTATTTTATTTTTTCCTCTCTCTAATGAAACAAAAAATATTTTTCAAATGAGATAATTGATATATAATTAATTGTTAATAAAAGTTAATAAATATATTGTCTAACAATTAATCAATAATCATAGCTGGATGATATTTTTGTGACCATTGAAAAATGTTAGCAAGAATGACCATTAACATTACTATGGATTCCCTTCTTCTACTGTTTGAAATTGGAAAGTGAAAACTTTTCCTAGCATACTGTTTAGTGCTTGACGGGTAGGTAGTATCTATGTCAATGCCACAAATTCCAAAATAATAATTCAAGGTGATACTCTCTCATGCACAACAACATACTTGGAAGAGCGATACTCATGCACATAGCTATTTATTATCACATCATGATATTTTAAATGATGTAAACTCATGGATCAAATTCTGATTATTTTTTTTTTTTGCATGAATCAATGTTGGAAACTGTTGAAAAAACAAGTAATGAATTTAAGGAATAGTGCAAAAGTTTTCTTTTGTTTCTTGAGTTTTTCATGACAATATTTCAAAATCCTGCTCCTACGTATCTCCAGGTGCTATGGAGAATTTAATGCTACATAGTTCTACTTACAATGAACTAATGGGTTGATTGATTTTAAGGATTGATCATTTAGACATATCGAGGGACTAAACCTTTACTTGCTACTCGCTCTTGGAGACAGAAGTCTTTGTTTATTTTATGTCAATATGGATAAAGAATACTCGTTTCTAAAAATGTTTTTGAAGTCGCGCAAGGACGGAAAACAAGTTTGATTGGTTAAGTTGCTTTTAAATGGAGACAAGCATCCAAACAGGGAGCTCTACAGCAAGATTCAAATGCATGGAAAGGAAGAGGCATAAGCATAATCACTCTCTTTTCATCCAAGAGTTATTATGAAAATGTGTGACGAATTAGGTCAAAGATCATTAACGGAAGACGATTATTCACATAAGGAGCTCTACAGTATTGTATAAGTAATCTGGAAGGAGAATGTTGATAACCAATCATTCATTTTTTCTTCAATAAGAGAACTTTCTTAGTTCAATTTATTATTGTATTTTTAGTATGGAAGATGAATGTTCGAACATGGAGCTCTACAACAGTATTCAAACATTTGAGAAAGAGAACGTCTAAACCTAATCTTTTCTTCCATTTTTATTGCGAAAGCTTTGCATTAATAACTTCACGTTGGATCAAGTGTTGCAAAGTGATTTATAAAAAGAGTTTGGATTAATCAGGGGATACTCGAATTTGCATTTAATTTGAATTTATTTTGGGAAAAAGACTCGACGTTGGATCGAGTGTTTGTTTTTATTGGTTTTTCTAAAAGTTGTTGATTTTAATCTTTGAGTTATCCATCGACTAACGCAATAAAAATAAATGAAAGTGGTAAACTTATTAAACATCACGGAAATAGAGGTACAATTTGAAAAAATGGGAATACAATACATAATTAACAATATAAGTTCAATAAATAACTGTAAACAACAATGAAATCAATGCAAAAAATACATCAGAAAAAGACAAGAGATTAGAAATAAATCATTTTTTTAATTACTAAATTTAACGTTATGCTGATCAATTGTAGAGTAATTCATGTAGGAAGCACTCTATCTAAGGCAAGTTAAAAAAAACTTTATGCATCTAAACAGCTTTTGAAGTTAAACTGAATTTTAACTCTGAAATTGCAACACGTCTGAGAACCGATAGAACAATTTAACCAAATTCTTTTTAACAATTTAAAATAATCAATTTAAACAATAAATAATTAATAATAATAATAATAATAATAATAATAATAATAATAATAATAATAATAATAATAATAATAATAATAATAATAATAATAATAATAATATACTCTCTACTTTATTTTTACGATTTTATTACATTTTAGATCTCAATTGTACGTCATTTTTTACATATGTTGCTATCTCATTTTCGACACATTCAATATTAGTCTCTTATTATTTTCCACGTCTATTTTTTTATTCGATATCGTGCTTCATACTTTACCTGAAAACAAATACATAATTTATTACAAAAAACATCAGTTCTGATATATTTTAAAGATGTATCTCCGGAGCAATTCAAATGTAAATGACTATTAAGTGATATATTTTTAATATTTAAAATTGTTTCAGAGATATATCTCTAAAATATGTCAACGTTTATTCAAAAATAAATACGTTTAAAAATATATCTTTAAAATAAATAAAATATATATTTAAAAATTCACATGATATAACAGAAACATCTGAGATGCCATAAGAAATTCTTTAATTTTATATAGGGTCTTGACGTTAATCCCATTTTTTTTTGTAGACAAAGTCAGTCAATGAAGACCTTTCTTCCTAGACAATGAAAGAACCGTGTCACACGTCACTATGAGTGGTCGTGCTCATGTAGGTCTTGGTCAACCAACGGGTCAACTACGCTAAGCTATCAAAAAATTAAGAACCCACACAAATACAAACTTTTAAGAAATTTCCCTCATTTTCAATTATGAAATGAAAATTGTAATGCAAACAATCATAAAATGTATGAGAGCATGATTTAAAAACTAATGATGTAAATAGAATGTAACATAAATAAACAATACGACATAAAAGAAAAATTGTTAAAAGTGATATTTTAATACGGCAAGTGTAATTTTTAAATATAATTTTTTTATATAATTTTCCATTGCAAAACAATTAAAAATAGATTTAAAAGTATGAAAAAATTTATATCATTGACTAGTTCAAATGGTTGGAGTAATAAAAATTGAAACAATTAGTTTTTGTTCTAATAATCTTTTACTATAACTGGTTCTATTTTTTTTAATGTGAAGCGTATATATCCCACCTATTCAGAGATGGCAACGGGGCGGGTCGGATATTACTATACTCGCACCCGCCTCCATGTAACACACTCGCCCCCACCCTCAAACTCAATCGTGATAAAATTTACCGCCAGATCCGCATCCGCCCCACTCCCACTCGAAAAAAAATTATTTTTTTTAATTTTAATAAAAATTAATAATTTAATTAAAAATTAATTATTTTAATAAATTAATTATTTATTTAATTAAAATTTGAATTAATAAATATTAATTTGATTAATTTAATTATTTTAATTGTAATAAAGGTATTAATAATTTAATTTAAAATATAATTAATAAATGAATATTAAAATAAGTAAAATAAGAGAATTAAACTAAAATGTATTATTCGGGGGCGGGGACGAGTGCGTGCGGGTCTTAGTGTCTCCCAACACCCGTAACCGCACCCATAATTAGAAGTCGGATTTTTCCCACACCTGCATCCGTACCCACTCAAATCGGATTTTCTCCGCTAATTTCAGAGTGGGTCCGGACGGGCCCGACGGTCCAGGTTTTTTTTTCCATGCCTACACCTATTCATTATTAAATATTGGAATTTGAGCTAGTAAGTTATAAATGCCCAAAGTATGTCAATAAAAGCTCATCCACACTTCTATAGCTTCAACATTCATCCATCTTATCTCTTCTACAATGTCTTCGTTTCTCTCATCTCTCCTCCTCATTTTCATTTTCATTTTCACATCTCAGCTCACCATAGCTAAATCATTCCAATACTTTTGTGATAACAACAAAGGTAACTACACAAACAACAGCATCTACCACACAAACCTCAAAACCCTTCTATCAACTCTCACTTCCAACACACAAATCAACTACGGTTACTACAATTTCTCAAACGGCCAAAACACAAACAAAGTATACGCTGTTGGTCTCTGCAGAGGAGATATCAAACTCAATGATTGTCAAAATTGTCTCAAAAAATCAAGCGATCTTCTAACACAAAATTGTGAAAACCAAAAAGAAGCAATCGGTTGGTACGATGATGATAAATGCATGTTGCGTTACTCGAACCGTTCAATCTTTGGGTTAATGGAAATTGGACCTGCTTATTTTGGATGGAATTTGAAAAACGCAACAAATGAAGACGAGTTTAATGAAAAAGTGAAGAAATTGTTGGATGGTTTAAGAAACAAAGCTTCGTCAGGGGACAGTGACCTTAAATATGCTGTTGGAAGTGACAAGATTGGTCCAAATAATAATGAAACATTATATGGTCTTGTTCAATGCACACCTGATTTGTCTAAAACATCTTGTGATGATTGTTTGGTTCAATCTATCAAAGAAATTCCAAATTGTTGTAACAATAAGATTGGCGGTAGAATTGTTAGACCTAGTTGTTACTTGAGATATGAAACCAATTCACTTTTTTATCAAACAACAATATCAGATTCACCATCACCATCTTCATCACCATCGTTGTCACCATCGTCCTTGCCATTTTCATCACCATCATTGTCGCCATCGTTCTTACCATCACCATCACCATCTTCATCACCATCGTTGTCACCATCGTCCTTGCCATCACCATCACCACCATCACTGGTGCCACCACTCTCAGCTCCTCCTCCGTTTGCACAAAACAATACATCACCTCAACCTCAAGGTATTTATCATATGGAGTATGTTTTTAGTATATCATTGATGAATTTATTGTCTTACAATAGGTACTAATTGTGATTTTTTTTTTTCAGATAAGGGCAATACGTCAAGAAATGTCGTTCCGTTGATGTTGTTTTTATTGTGTTCAATGATATCATCTTTTTGATGAATAATAGTATGTAGCATTCTATTTGATTAAGAACAAGGTAAGCCAAGGAAATAATTTGAATGTAGTATGTATTTGCATATTGAAGAAAAGTCAAAGAAACGAGTTGTATGTTGGTGTGAATAAATAGAGGAGAACAATCTTATCCCTAGAGTTCTACAGTTAAAGTGTTACATAAGATAGATATAGACCTTATTTAACTTTCTATTTAAATATTTTTCTTATTGTTGGTGCAAAGATAGAATAAATGATGAAAATAGGGAAATATTCTATTAAAGAGAATGACGGCAGAAGAAACAGGATTAAGAGTTACAATGATTGTCACCCTATTTATAGGCTAAAACTAGGGTTACTAGAATAAGATAAAATACTGAAATACCCTCTAACAAACTTATGGGCTTAAGAAAGTAATATAATAAAATATGAATTATTACTAATACCATCCCTTAATTCATATTCCATCAAAACTTGTAACACCAATTTCATCCCTTAATCTGAGAAATTGATCAGTCTTGATGGCTTTCGTCAGAACATCTGCCAACTGCTTCTGAGTGCTGCAGTGTACAACTTCTAACACTCCACTCTGAACTTGATGTCTCAGAAAATGATACTTGGTCTCAATATGCTTGCTTCTCCCATGCAGCACTGGGTTTCTGGCAAGGTTGATTGCAGACTTGTTGTCAATCATCAACTTCAGAGGTTTGTCTACCTTAATCTTCAGATCCTGCAACAGATTCAGAATCCACACAGCTTGGCATGCAGTAACAGCACCTGCAATGTATTCAGCTTCACAGGTTGACAACGCCACAACAGGTTGCTTCTTGGAACACCAAGAAATGGGACCTCCCAGAAATTTGAACAAGTACCCAGATGTACTTCTTCTGTCAACTCTGTCTCCACACCAATCCGAGTCTGAATAACTCAGAAGTTCTGACTCATTATTTCCTCCAGAGGGAAATAACACTCCATACTTCAGAGTTCCTTTGATATACCTCAGAATCCTGACAGCAGCTTGGTAATGGGACCACTTAGGTTTACTCATGAACCTACTAACCATCCCAACTGAGTAGCAAATATCAGGTCTGGTATTGCACAGATACCTCAGAGAACCAACCAGCTGTTTGAAGGTTGTAGCATCCACATCCTTTCCTTCAGAGTCTGAATCTAGTTTCTGATTTGTATCAGAAGGTGTGACAGCCATCTTACAATTCTTCAGATCAAATCTCTTCAAAAGTTCTAATTCATACTTGAGCTGATGCAAAATGATACCTTTCTCAGAATATCTGAACTCCATCCCTAGAAAGTATGTCATTTTGCCTAGATCAGTCATTTCAAATTCATTCATTAGAACCTTCTTGAACTTGGCTATCTCCTGTTCAGAACTTCCAGTCAATAGTATATCATCAACATATAAACATACCAGAGTCATATTGCCTTCAGAAGTATGCTGAACATAGACACCGTACTCCATCTCACATTTCTGAAAGCCTTGCTTCTTGAAAAATGAATCAATCTTCTGATTTCAAGCTCTGGGCGCTTGTTTCAATCCATATAAAGCTTTGTATAATCTGTACACAATCCCTTCCTGATTCCTTTTCACAAATCCAGGAGGTTGTGACACGTAAACTTCTTCTTCTAATGGACCATTCAGAAATGCAGATTTTACATCTAAATGCATCAGAGGCCAATTCCTGTTAGCAGCTATTGCAATCACCATTCTGATTGTTTCATGTCTTGCTACAGGTGCAAACACTTCAGAATAATCCAGCCCAGGTTTCTGTAGAAATCCTCTGGCTACCAACCTTGCTTTATGTTTGCCAATTGAGCCATCTGGCTTTAACTTCTGCTTGAAAACCCATCTGACGCTGATGGCTTTCTTGTCTTTTGGAAGTTCTGCCAGCTTCTAAGTCTTGTTTCTCTCTATAGCATCAAGTTCTTCTTTCATGGCCTTCAGCCAGAGCTTCTGCTTAAGAGCCTCCTCTGTACTTATAGGTTCAGAGTCTACTAACATGGCACATTGAATAACTTCTCCTTCAGAGTCTACTTCAGTGTCTTGCAGCATGTCAAATTCTGCAAATCTTCTGGGAACGCTTCTGATTCTTTGTGGTCTCTGAACTTGTTCAGAGTCTTGAGCTTCAGAGTTTCTAGCTTCAGATGATTGACCTCCAGAGCTTTGACCATCTTCAGAGTCTAGCATATTTCCAGAGTCTGAATTGCCACCAAGATCTGGATTGCCATCAGAGTCTGAATCATCAGAGTCTGGGTCATCTGGGTCACCTTCATCTTCTGAGTCTTCTTCAGAGTTTGAATCAGTATCAGAGTCAGAGTCAATATCAGGGTTTACTTCAACTTCAGAAATTCTTAACTCTGGCCTTTCTTCAGAGGTTCTAACATCAGAATCAGATTGAGACTTATCCCAATTCCAAACTTCTGATTCCTTCACAATCACATCTCTGCTGAATTCAATTTTATTGGTTTCTGGACAATAGAGCTTGTATGAACCTGTACTGTGGTACCCTATCAGAATCATCACTTTGCTTCTATCATCCAGCTTCTGTCTTCTGGCTTCTGGAACATGTTTATAGCAAACAGAACCAAACACCTTCAGATGACTAACACTTTGCTTGTCTCCAGTCCACTTCTGCATAGGAACTATTTCCTTCAACTTCTTCGTAGGACATCTGTTGAGTACATACGTTGCAGTGGCAACAGCTTCTCCCCAGAGCTTCTGAGGAAGCTTCTTCTCCTTTAGCATGCTTCTCACCATATCAAGCAGAGTGCGGTTTCTTCTTTCAGCAAGACCATTGTGTTGAGGGGTATAAGGAGCAGTAACCTCATGCTCAATTCCATTCTCCTCACAGAACTTCTGGAACTCTTTGGAGTTATACTCACCTCCACCATCAGTTCTAAGAATCTTCAACTTCTGACCACTCTGATTCTCAGCCTTCATTCTGAACTTCTTGAATTCATCAAACACCTCGTGTTTGAACTTAATAAGGGATACCCATGTCATTCTTGTGAATTCATCAACAAACAACACAAAGTATTTATTCCCTCCAATTGATGCTACTGGAAATGGACCACACACATCAGAATGTACAACTCCCAAGGCATGTTTTGCTCTTGGAGCAACTTCTGATGCAAATGGCAATCTTGGTTGTTTTCCTTCCATGCAAACTTTGCATGACTTTTCAGGCTTCTTAATTGCAGGAATTCCATGTACCAGTTTCTTTGAATTCAGATGTTGTAAGCTTCTAAAGTTCAAATGACCAAATCTTCTGTGCCACAGCTCACTCTCCTTCTCAGTACTTGTTGCACTAAGACACTCTGAGTCTGCAGTTCTGACATTCACCTTGAATGTTCTATTCCTTCCCTGTTCTGACTCCATAATCAACTTCTGATTACAGTCATACAGCTTCAGAAGATTGTCCTTCATGGTAACTGAGAAACCTTTCTCAATTAATTGTCCCACACTCATCAGATTGCTTCTGATGCCAGGTACATACCACACATTCTGAATCAATGCTATTTTTCCATTGTTCAGAGTCACTCTGACATTTCCCATACCTTCTGCATTAAGATATTTGTCATCAGCACATCTGATCTTTGTTCTCTTTTCAGAGTCAAAGTCAACCAGCCATTTCTTGTTTCCAGTAAGATGATTTGAACAGCCAGTGTCCATATACCACCAGTCTGTCAGATCATCAGATTCAGAGGCCATCAATAGCACAGATTCGTCATCAGAACTTCTGGCTATATTTGCTTCTTCTGATTTCTTCTCCTTGTTTGACCAACAATCTCTAGCAAAGTGACCAAACTTCTTACAACAGTAACATTGGATCTTCTTCTTGTCATACTTCTCTTTTCCCTTCTGAGCATTCTTTTGTCTATCAGAGGTTGAGGTTTCTGACTTCTGACCACCATCAGATCTTCTCTTGGCTTCTGACTGCTTCTGATACCTCCTATCAGAAATTGCTTTCAGAGCCTGCTGCTCTACTTCCCTTTCAGAAGTTCTCTCAGTCAAACGCAACTCTTGCGCTTCTAAACTGCTCTGCAGCTCTTCAATTCTCATTGTGCTCAGATCTTTGGAATGTTCTATTGCTACCACAATGTAATCAAATTGAGGAGTAAGGGATCTCAATACTTTCTCCATGATTGTTTCTTCAGAAAGAGTTTCTCCACATGCCTTCATCTCATTAGTGATCAGAATCACTCTGGAGATGTATTCAGAAACTTTCTCATTATTCTTCATGTTGAGATTCTCATATTGCTTTCTCAAGGACTGAAGCTTCACCTTCTTCACTGATGCGTCACCACCATAACATCTAACCAGTGTGTCCCACGCAGCCTTTGCTGTCGTTGAATCTGCAATCTTCTCAAACACATTTACATCAACACATTGATGAATAAAGAATAATGCTTTCTGATCCTTCTTCCTCACTTCCTTCTGCGCGTTTTTCTGTTCATCTGTTGCATCTGCTGCTACCGGAACATAGCCATCAGTGACAAGATCTAGAACATCTTGAGCACCAAACAGCACACGCATCTGGATCATCCAACGATTCCAGTTTTTACCGTCAAATACTGGAAGTTTGGTGTTCATGTTGCCGTTTCCGTTCATCTTCTTCTTTGCACAATACACTCAGAGTTTTCTCACACAGTGTTTCCCAACCCACAGAATTTTAAAAAAAAAATTCTGATCAGATTTTGTTCAAGATTCAACGTGAATCTAAGAAACAAAATCAATCACACAAGACCTCACGTTCACTCGTGTTTCCCAATGAATCAGAACCGGAGCTCTAGATACCAATTGTTGGTGCAAAGATAGAATAAATGATGAAAATAGGGAAATATTCTATTAAAGAGAATGACGGCAGAAGAAACAGGATTAAGAGTTACAATGATTGTCACCCTATTTATAGGCTAAAACTAGGGTTACTAGAATAAGATAAAATACTGAAATACCCTCTAACAAACTTATGGGCTTAAGAAAGTAATAT